TCTTTTTCTGTTTTGTCTCTCTTTTATCCTCTTCGCCTCCTCCTCTTCCTCTCAAACCTTCCAGCCTGAATACTCACGTCACAAGTCGCACAAATGTGTTCCAGTGACGACTTGCGTGACTGACTTATCGATGTAACACCAAAGTCCCAGAGTGAAGTATGATGTGGACGACTACAAGGATTAACAGACGCGCTCATGTGGCTGTATTTGTGAAAATGTGTGTACTCGGAAATTAAATTTATCTCATGTACGCTATGAAGTAAAACATTGAAAGGAAACCTCAGCAGTTTTTTACTGCTCCGGCGTTATATGCCTGCACCTGTTAGTACTGTTATCCATCCAATGGCCGGAGGGAGGAGGCAAAGAACTTTGGCATCTCTTTACACTTTCATTGTTATATATGGACATAGAACTAAAATAGATTTGTTCACATCAAGTTTGTATAACAATAAATATATGGTGCTCACTTCCTGGGTGTTTTGATTGCGATGGTTTTTATCTTTTATTTTGGTTACCGCCAAGCAATTTTATTCAGCTGGGGAATTTCCATCTCGTAGCCAAAGGCTTAAACAAAACTTTGCTGCCCTTACAAAATTTATATTCAAATATATCCATAATCCATTTTATCATAAATGCGCCTCCCCCACCCCTTCCCCCTTTGCAAAGGAACATCCTACTTAGAACATGAATTCATCCTTTTGTAACTTTAGTGTTTTCCTCTGGCTAATGCTAGACGATTCGACTCACCTGAGGAAATCCCGTCGGTATTGCGAAAGGGTTATCCTGCCTTATAATCTCTCCCACAAAAAGACACCTGCCCCAGCACACCCATTCCCTCTCCCTCCCGCACTAGCGAATGCTTCGAATTCACACTTCCGAATTCAGGGTTCACGCCTTTGGGAGAGAGGCAGATAGTTTACATGAACGCTGTATGATCATATATATATATATATATATATATATATATATATATATATATATATATATATATATATATATATATATATATATATATCGATAAAATCACACGGGAAAATGAGAAATTCAAGACGTTTTCATTGTGGATTTACATGATATATATATATATATATATATATATATATATATATATATATATATATATATATATATATATATATATAAGATCATACAGCGTTCATGTAAACTATCTGCCTCTCTCCCATAATGAAGACGCTAAGAATATTGACGTATCTAGTAATCCACAAAGGGAAGACCCCTTTACTTCCTGACCCTGGATCCTTGCTGGTTGCCAAACTAGAACAAGTTGGGAAAGCGATCCTTGCTAAGACTGAGGAAGTAGCTGATAGAATGGAGGGGATGGTGAAGAGAAGTTATGCTTAGGTCATAGCAGGGCCAGGGGAGGTGGCGGAGAAAAATGCAGGATCCGAACAAGTTCTACAGCAGCTAGGGACTCTGAATAAGTGTATCGAAGAGATGGCAACTAGCAGACATACTCTTAGGGGAGAAGAGGAACAACTGGAACGTTTCAAGCGCAGGAACAACGTAATAGTTTTTGGAGTCCCTGAGAGCAAGTCGGAGGAAACTGAGAGTATGAAAACACACGACGAGTTGCAGTTTGAGAATATTTGTACAGAGGTTCTGAATGTGCTATCCCCTCCTCAGGATGTGAAGAGGCTCGGACAAAAGCAGGAGGACAAGCCTCGCCCCCTCTGGATCACACTTGTGAGTGAGGAGAAGAAATGGGAAGTTATTCGGCAGGCAAAAAAATTAGCAAGGAGCGAGGCATTTCAGAATGTATTCATTCATCCAGATCGCACGGGTCTTGCAGGGCTTGAAGCGGAGGAGGGAGGAGTCGAGGAGGAACGGGGATAGGTGTACATTCTCGTTCAAGATTCTATGAACACTGCTGGAGACAGCTGGCAACTCAAGACAGTTTGTTTACTATAGGATGTAGTATAATATAATACGAAATAACAAAGCCTAACCATTAATTAAGCAACGGGGAACTAAGTAACCAATCACAGATCACTTTTACATTCATTCATAACTTTTACTACGTACTATGGTAAACAAGCGGCCTTAAGTTGCCAGCTGTCTCCAGCAATGTTCGAAGACTCTTGAACGAGACTACATAGGTTATATCCAGGGGGGGGGGGTAGTGGAAGCAAGAGCGCCAGCATAGAGCCAGGGGGAAGCGGTACACCTTCCACCTGCTCTACCTCCCACCCAGGAGGAGGCGAGCGCCGTGTAAACAATGACATTTCTAATCACACCTTGCAAAATACAGAGTATTTAGCAAATTTTGCAGCTGCTGAGAATGGAGGGAGGCCGGAGTTACTACCAAGAGCAGAGATGTTACCTAGAACATTTTCCGGCTTGAATGTCATGTACACTAATACTGTACTGACACGTTCCTTGATAAGAGAGAGGAGTTTGAAACACTACTGAAGGTCCACCAACCCGATATAATGGGTGTTGTAGAACTGATGTACAAGAACAGGAGGATCGACCCAGAGGAATGTGAGTTCAGTATTGGCGGATATGACTTATTTACGAACCTTTCTCAAGAAACTTACCAGAGGGGTGTGGTTATCTATGCTAGGCAAGACCTTAGAGCCAGCCACGTGAGGGTACAGGGAGAGAATGTTTTTGAAGAATCCAAGTGGTGTAAAATTAAATTAAAGGGAGGGGACTTACTTATTGTCGGGTGTATCTGCAGATCCCCAAACTGTAGCTTACCGTAAACCAAAGGAACTTAAGAGCCGTAATAGACAACGCAGCGATGCTCAACTCTTAGTCTTAAGGGGCTTTAACAATGGCGACATCGACTGGAGAAATGAGTTCACGCCAAATTGCTTAAATAACCCTGCTACTCTTTTTATAGAAACTCTGAGAGATAATTTTCTGTTCCAACAGGTTAAAGACCCGACACATTACAGAGGGGAGCAAACACCCAAGCTACTAGACCTCATCATAACAAACGATGAGGGTATGGTGGCCAAACTGGAACATCTAGCCCCGGTTGGCACCAGCCACCATGTAATGTTGTCCTTCAAATTTAATTGTTACTTAGTTCACGACAAAACCAGGCCAAGGTGCAAATATTACAAGGGAAATTATGACGGGATGAGAGAGGAGATGAGAGGTATCCACTGGCCTGACTCACTAAGGCGTAAGAACGCAGACACTACGCTGAATATCATAGCTTGTAAAGTGATCCATTTGATCGAGAAATATAGACCCCCGACCAAACCCAGTCCCCCTAGGAATACAAGGAGACCCCACATGATCCATGCGGCGGTCGGCAAAGTTAAGAAGAAAACCCAGAAATTCAAGGTGTGGGTTAGGTCTAACGATGAGCAGGACAGGAGGATGTATGCAAGAGCCAGGAACCAAGCCAAGTCAGAGTATAGAAGGGCTGAAAAGGAGTTCCAGAGGCTGACTGCAAGCGAGGTCAAGTCAAACCCAAAGGCGTTTTACCGCCATGCAAAGTCGAAATTAATAATGCGAGGCTTGAAGGTGGCAGTTACGCAGATTCTGACCAGGATAAAGTTGAGGCGTTGAACAGCTTCTTTTCTCTCGGTGTTCACGAGAGAGGATGCAATTAATTTTCTTGGGTTTGAGGACAGACGTTTCGACACAGCACCGACCCACATTGTGTTCACAGAAGAGGTTATAAGAAATAATTTGTCAAAGCTAAAAGGTTCATAAGATTCTTGGCCCTGACATGATGCATCTCAGAGTGCTAAGAGAGTTGTGCAACGAGATTGCCTAGCCCCTGAACATCCTCTTCTGTAAATGCCTCGATGAGCAAAATTTCCCCGGTGATTGGAAAATGGCTTATGTGAGTCCTATCTTCAAGAAGGGCGATCGTCACTCTACGAACAACTATAGACCGGTGAGCCTGACCGGCATAGTATGTAAAGTATTTGAAAGCATTCTAAGAGATGCCATGATGGAACATCTACAGTACTACGAAACAACCTTGTAAACTGTAAAGGATTGACAACACGGTTTTATGCCGGGGCGCTCCTGCTTAACACTATTACTCAAGGTACTGAATATTTTGCCAAGGCTTTCGACAGTGTACCCCATGAAAGGCTGAAAATTAAACTGGAAGGATACGGAATTCGGGGAAATGTCCTAGCGTGGATTGGAGACTTTCTCCATGACCGCAAGCAGTGTGTGGTGATTAAAGGCACGAAATAATCACGTGTACCCGTCACAAGCGAAGTACCACAGGGACTGCTGCTGTTTGTCTGCTTCATAAATTACATGCCTGACGCTGTACATTCCTCCTTACAAATGTCTCCGGATGACGCAAAGCTATTTCGGGAAATTAAGAAATAAGCAGACTTTGAAGAACTCCAGAAAAGGATCTCTGTGAGCTTCAAGAATGGTAGAAGAAATGGCTGCTAAGATTCAATGCCACGAAGTGTAAGAGGCTGCACCTGGGACGTACGCATATCATATGTCCCAACTGGACGAAGAAACTGCATTAATTGAGACTAAATGTGAAATGGACACAGGTATATATGTTGACAATGAGTTGAAGTTCTCGGCCCATTGCGAGAAGGTGAATCAGGCAACTAAATTATTAGGTCTTATAAGCAGGTCGTTCGGATATCCAGACGGTCCGTCTCTCGTAACGATCTTCAAGAGTGAAGTGCTTCCCCGTCTTGAGTATTGTCACCCCGTCTGGTCCCCGAGATATGCTAGAGACTGTCAGTTGATTGAAAATGTACGAAGGAAGGCCACCAGACTGGTGCCTGCACTACGGCACCTCAGCTTCCCTGAGAGATTAGAGAGCCTGAAATTGCCTAGCTTATACTACAGACGGGCAAGGGGGGACCTAATTGAGATGTATAAACATCTCAAATGGCACTACTGAGTCGAGTGCTCTTACCTGGAGCTGGCGGACACTCGCCCCACAAGTGGTAGCAGCTCAAGGTTGAATAAGCCACAAGCCCAGAAAACTGTAAGGGGTAACTTTTTCGGAGTGAGAATTGTGATCTCTTGGAACAATCTGACAGTGTGTTGTGACAAGCACTGGAGCATGTTCAAATAAATTCAGGAGCCATTGCATGCCCATTACTTGCCAACAGTGGCTTACAAACCGATCAGTGGTGAAGAGGATAAAAGTAAAAGAAAAAAAATGAGGAAAATTTATATGTTGCTAATAAGGGGAGCAGGCATACCAACTTATCGCGATGGATTGAAGAATATATCAAAGCATTTCGTCCACCGTATCATATTGTAGAGATGGAAAAAGTAACGACACATTTTGGGGGCTGAACTTTACATATATTGTATATACATAAAAAAGCAGGTTCATATCATAATTATTAGTTGCAGGTGTCAGGTACGTACTATGCAAGAACAGGAGAATTGGCAACCCATTTACCTTTGCAGGTGTTAGAATACCATAGACTCGCCAGTTCCGTGCGAGGGATCATCCGGTTCGCAAGTGAGTTGGTGACATTTCTTGTTTTCTAGTACACCGAAGTTTATTAATAAAAGACAATATATTATATAGAAAACAGTGACCCTAATATAAATTTACTTTGTCTATAAAGTGCATTACATTATTATTCTCCCTGTTGGGGTGAAAAAACGGTGTGTGCAAGGGTCCTCACCTTTATACAGGGTGTTCTGTAAATAACATTTATAAATTAGGCAGTGTATTCCTGAGGCATATATAAAGATAAATGACTAATTGACCAAACTGTCAACTCTCAATAGTTTGGGAGTTACAGCACATGACATACTTGGTAGGAATGTGATGAAACCTATATGGGGTGTATATGAAACATACACTGTGCTAGTGATGATTATCAACAATAATACTGCCATATGATTTGTATTGGTATTACCATTTAAAGGAAAAGCTCAAGTTCTGCCCCTCTTGGTCAATGCAGGGCTCAGCCCGTCGCATTAGTGAATGTCGCACACGTACAAAGACCCCAGGGCTGATGTGAATGTTTGTCACACTGTCCTGTACACGGCGCCACAATTCCTCGCGGTTTACGAATATCTGTAACATGCACCTTGCTTTTTATGTGACCCCACAGGTAGAAATCAAGGAGATTTTTGTCAGGTAACCGAAGGTTTCATCACATTCCTACCAAACCTGTCATGTGCTGTAATTCCGAAACTATTGAGAATTGACAATTTGGTCATTTAGTCATTTATCTTTATTTATGTCTCAGGAGAACATCACCTGAATTATGTAAGATATTTACGGAACTCCCTGTAAAATCAAATAATATACACGACGTAATTTAACAGAACTTATTACAAATGATATGCGATTATATGAGGGTACGACTACCTGGTTCACCTGTGGCCATATTTTCCTCGGTGTTTATCCTCGAGTGTGTCGCTCCACCACCACCACTCAACCAACAGCCCCACCATCCACCACCACCACTCAACCATCAGCCTCACCATCCACCACTACCACTCAACCATCAGCCCCACCATCCACCACCACCACTCAACCATCAGCCCCACCATCCACCACCACCACAACCATCATCCATACCTTGCACCACCATCACCCATACCGTCCACCACCACCACAACCACCATATTTACTACCACCATCGCCAGTATTAAGGGTGAATGAAACCTAAACTCCATGACAAGATTTTGATATTTGCCCCGCGTGGGGGATAGTTTATTGGACACCCTTGCAGCCTCTGCAAGGCGAAGCTCCAAAGCGTTCACAGCACCGACCATGGATGCATGCGGAGTTCATGACGAAATAACCCCCCCTCTTAGGAACCATGCCTGGCACTTGACATTATTAGAGACCGGCCACGCTTTGCCATAAACAGATGAATTGTATCAGGAATTCTCCCGCCACACATTCATCCTCCTCCGGACCTCCTGTCACTACGTGTATGTAACTTGCCAACACACCCCCGTGGCCGTTGAACCCACAACAAACACAGCTGTACGGTAGTTTCATTATTCACCACCATGGCGTCCTCACTCGCCTGTTTACGGCTCACATCACATATTCGCAATATGTTCCTTGTGATATTAATCAGGTGTGGGCACAGGTGTATGTATTGTTCCTAGAGACGTGACACAGGTGTACTGTCGGCGAAAACAAAACTGTAAAACAGCTGGGTACGGCAGATACCAGAATGAGTACTATAACTCTTTTCATCTCAGAATGTTTGATATGCCTCGTCTACTGTATACTCCACACGACACTGAGTCACCGAGGTGTACTATGACTCCACACGTGTTTCTTTTCAGTGTCAGAAGGTCCTGCTGGTGTAGTTGCGAAGTATCGAACCTGGTTAGTGGCAGTTATGGTCGTGTATCTTGCTGGGTACTTCATAGTTAAGTTTGATGTACTTCCCGGGCTCCTCCAGACACAGTCGAAGTAAGTTCATGGTGCATGATGGTAGTTTATTATTGTATTCTTATAGTGCATTATTATTTATTTGTGATTTGTTTATATTTTCTTTGTCTTTATTGATGAATCTCTTTACTTTGTTTTTACGGTGTTAAATATGTTAAATACCTGCTCTACATAGTATATAAGTCACACCTTATTCTGTCATACAAAGTTATTAAGCGCAAGTATATACTGTAAACATCCGTCTTTCAGTATCTCCTTCACCTCGACATTGTCCCGTCTCTCCTCCTTGGTTGTCATATCTTGTTATATGTTGTAGGGTCGAGAGAATAAGCAGTGTGGTACAAAACAGAACAAAGTATGACCAGCATTGTTGAGATTGTTCTTACAATAGGAATATAATAGTAAGCCTTGGACATATACTGTACGGTAGGTGTTAAGGTGACTGACCATAATTATGGTAAGCACATAAGCTCATTGCTTTGGATTTGTGGTAGCACTGAGGAGACTGACAGAATGACAAGTAAATAATTTCAGACTTAGTGGTAGTACCATTTGACAATAATACTGATCTTCTCTCCTTCCTACTTGATGGTAACCTATACTTCCCTCACAATTAATCTTCACAAAACTACCACATGACCTGTAACTGCCAGCATGACAATTAGTCCCAGGGCTCAGTTCAAGACCTACCAGCAACTCTTATGTCTAATTATTTGTCTTTCATTTCTAGATCAACCATAATCAAGTCTTCCTTGGAATGGAGAAAACTTAATCTTCCCCGAGGATTATTTAGAAATTTTACTTTATTGATCAATGTTCAGATTAAAAATGTCTTTTTTTTTCATATGTCTTGAACCCCGGGCGTTTCATTGATGCGTTTGCTGACTTTAAGGTTGAATCTGATGTTTAAATGTGATGTTGGGTCTAATGTTGCTGGTGTTAACTTTGATTTTGACTCTACTGTTGACGGATGTTGACTGATGTTTATTCTAACGATGACTGATGTTTATTCATTCTGTGGCACCACAACGCCTGGATGTAAAACTCAATAGGTGGATCGTTTCACAGCCTGACCCCTGTGCCACTACAGTATCACGACAAGAACCGGGTCATCTCTAATACAGTGTTCAAGCCTTCACCCCGTCTCAACCATAGCAGCGCCTCCATTACACCTCCACCGCATATCCAGCACACCTCCACCACATCAACGCCTCCTCTACACCAACGCCTTCACCTCAACCCAGGTCTGTGTATCATAGAGGTTATCGCTAATCGGCAACGAATAAAATCGCCAGAATAAAAAAAAACCTTGGTATTGTACAATGATTTCCATGTAGTGGTCTTAATATCACACTGAGGTCTTTATTTACGAAAAAATAAATCATTTACAAACTACCTGTTAACCTTCTCCAGCATAACCGGTATATTGTTTGTATTTTTCATCAGTGTATGAGCCATCGCTGGAGCATGAGTTAGCGCGGCGGCAGGTGGAGAGGGACGTGCAGGAGAACACATGGTTCATCAATGATCAGCTCAACCAACTCCTGAAAAAAAAAGAAGAAACGAGCAATATAGTGAACATTAACGTGGATACAGTAAAGAATATTTTAGAGGAAATTCATGATCGAAAAAGGTAATGTGGAGGACATAACTGATTGTATAATGATATTGTAAAGGACATTTGCTACTAGAGTGTACTTCTAAAGGGGACTAGTATTACCTTGTGCTCCTTACAACCCAGCATGACTTTATACTGCTGGAGTGGCCCATTAAGACCTTTTTCTACTAGAATGACCCTTAAGGACTTTGGCTTTGTACCATCAGAGTGACCCAATATGACCTGAGGCGACTGAAGGACATGGACGGGTTACCTACATGGAGGGAGCGTGAGGCAGCTGAATTGAGTGAACTGATCCAACGACGACTCTACGCCATCCAGCACCCACCTGACTGTACCACAGCCAAGATAGTGGCGTGTAGGATGGAAAGAGTGAGTACAATTTGACCGTATCGCAGCCAAGATGGTGGCCTGTAGGCTGGGCAAGGTGAGTCCCATTAAACTCTACCTCTACCACAGCCAGGAAGTATACTAAACATTTATACAAACTTCAGGTACCCTTATACGTGCAGAGTTCTTCATACTATATAGTATTGGTTGGAATTTTTCTCATTACTTAACCGAAACTTTGTGGGGGGGGGGGGTGACAGACGCTTTGTTTTGTGTAATTAAATGTGCAAATCCTGAGAGAGATCTTGAACCAGAAACAGTAATAAGAAACTAAAAAGGAACTGGAAATTGGTAAAAAAATACTGACCTTCCAGACATGTGTGTAATTATAATCTGTAAATCCATTCCAGCCTTCTGATTGTGTGCGTTTAAAACAAAATCTAGAATTGTTGAAGTCAAAAGTATTCTTCTAGAAACATAGCTGGAAATGTTTGTTAACTGGAGCCACACAATCAAACACTCCCGAAATGCAATTTTCGACTTTCTTTCCTAAGATTTTCAATATGCCTTGAAATTTTCTAAATTGGCATGAAAATTACCATTTCACTGACCAGTTTCCAATATTCCTGATATTCAAATTTCCTTGATACTGTATTGGAAAACAGCTCAGACAAAGTCTTCATGTCCTGGTATACCAGATAGCCAACAAAGTAACATAAGATTTAAGCGATACACAATGTCAGAAATAAGCGACATTAAATCTCATTAATTACCTAAAATGACAATTCTGTGCTTACACCAGGGCTGTGGGATTGGGTGTGACCTGCACCACGTACTGTTCTGTATGATGGCGGCCTACGGGAGCCAGAGGACCATGGTGCTAAAGCGTGGCACTTGGGAGCAGTACTTCCTCCCTATCAGCTCCTGCAACACTTCCCACATCACCAGACACTCCAAGTGGCCGGGTGAGTCTCTTGAACCAGCTGCCAAAATAATGTCTTAACCAAGAAAGACACCACAACAAAATTAAACCTATATTACAACAACCACACATTTTTATACCTTAGCCACACTTATTTTATACCACAACCACACACTTATTATCTACCACAACCACACTTATTATCTACCACAACCACAAAAAACAACACTCATACTGCACCAGCAATACTCTACTCCCAAGATGCCTTACAATGATAAAGCATTAATTAGTGTCTTATATTATCGATATATTAGTTGTTGTTTCATATGTTGTTGATGTATTAGTTATAGTATTCTTATGTTGATATAATTAGCTACAGGATTGGAGGGAGACAGCCGCGTGGTATATTTCCCCGACTGGGACCACCCGGTACCACCGCCTGATTACCTGCCTCTGTCGATACCACAAGACATCTGGCAGCGGCTATTGAGGTTTCACGGGGAGCCCGGTGCCTGGTGGGTTGGCCAGTTCTTCCAGTACTTGCTACGTCCCAACCAGTACTTACAAGACAATATCCACAACTTAACCACCACACTCAACTTCCAGACTCCCATTGTCGGGTAAATCCATAGGCTGTATCTCTCTCTCAATTATTTTGTAAACTGTGACCATCATAATTACTGTATCTACTGCGTCATTCTGTGTCAGGTTTCACCTCTCTCTCTCTCTCTCATAATAATAATTCAGTGTAGTCAAATCGTTATGAATTGAATAATATTCCATATTTGATTTAATAGGCAACTCGTCTAAGGAACTCCAAACCATTTCCACTTGGCAAACACTTTTTAGTAAAACATAACTTAATCTGTTGCCTTTTGCATTTGTTGCTAGCACAAATTTTTTATACTGCAGTAGTTAATGTTACTGTTATTTTCATTATACTGTACAGTACTTATTTTGGAGGGTGACATTATGAACCTAGCGTCTACACTCAGTAGATATCATTCTCAGCCATCCAGTTCCCCTGCAGGGGGGAGAAGTGGCCTTCATAACTAACCTAACCCGGGGAATCAAGAAGAATACTCTTGTCTTTTTACTTTGTTGACGTGACAACTTTGCCATATGTTGTTAGATTTTAACCATAAATTGTTAAAGTTTGATTTTAATTAAATTTGTTATGATACCTGTCAAGAGTTACACTAAAAAATTTATAAACATGGTTTATATTGAAGATCACTTGTACCTCTGAGTCACACTACCTTTGTTCAATCTGGTACTGTGGACTTCAGGGGACACTAAACTGAAGGAGACTGAAGAACACTACTTTTCAGAAACTTTTCTCATGGTGATGTCCTTTTTGACAACTAAGCTTAAAAGATATGCTTTAGTGACAATCAGCTTGAAAGATAGGATTTTCTTGACTTACGAACCCCTCGGTTAATTAACACGAAAGAAAGAGAGTTTTGTCAACAAAATAACCAACTGGAGTCCTTATCAGAATTCTTCTATTGAGCTGCCAAAAGAAATTTGTGCCAGATGTCCGGAATTTAACTCCAAAAGGTGACCCTTATCATCTACAAAGTACAGCATAGTACATGAACAGTACAGCGATTATACTTAATATCTACAGAGTACATGTGTGATTATCACCCTTCATACCTACAAAGTACATATGTGATTGTCATCCTTAACACGCATACAGAGTACATGTGTGATTCTCATCCTTCACACCTTGAGAGTACATGTGCGACTGTTCTCATTTTTAACACCTACAGAGTACATATAAGACTTACTGATAAGAAGAAAGAGGCGAAATTGCACGATCTGGAGGAATACATGAATCATGTGGAGGAATACTACAGGACTCTGGACCTAAAGGAGAAAAACGCCACGCGCAGGATCTACCTCGCCACCGATGACCGAAACATCTTCTCCAATGCTACGATAAAGTAAGATTTTTTTTCTGTCTTTGCTCTCGAAAAATATCAAAATAACTACATGTCCGTTTGTTTACCTATTTTCCCCTTCTCTGCTCAGAATCCCTTAATTTGGGGTTTTCAGGAGTTCTTACTATCCGCATTTCCTCTCAGTTTTGAACACTTTCAGATACCCGAATTACCAGATCCTGTACAACCCAGAAACCGACAGCCTTGGCGAGTTCAAACTGCGTAAATTCTCCAAATTCTCCTGTGTAGTCGACGTATTCATGCTATCCCGTTGCAGCTTCGTGGTGGGCACCTTATCGTCCAATGTGAGTCCCTACCTAAACTCCCACACACCTTTTGCAGCTTTGGGTGGTAAAAATAGTCCTGTTAGGGATATTATATTACTGTTACATTAAGACCTACAGCAAAGGACCCACACAACATGACCCAAGCCACACTACCCTCACTATTGTTTGAGAGGTAATAAATTACAGGTAAGAAAATCAAACACTTTCATAATGTAGAATATGAATCAGGGCGAGTGATGACCGATGGACCATGAACGCAATTTGTGATTCTATCAGTCCTGGTTTCACTGAATGGCACATTTTTCAAGGTGTGTCGATAATTTGCCAGCAAAATGAGTGTACTAAAAGGTGAGTGGAATGCAAATATAGAATAAGATACTATGACTTCGATTAGTGGAGAGTATACAGCTAGGGATAGAATGACACAGAAGTTACTACAGGACAGGGAGAGGTCATCTTTTCGTTTAAGAGACCTAGGGATAATTGATAAATTTGAAACTACCCATTAATCAGTGAGAAAGTAATGATATGTTTTCCTTCGTTTCATCACATCTTGGGTCCAGGTGGGTCGACTGGTCTATGAGATCATGCAGACACTGTACCCCGATGCCTCCTCGTACTTCAGCTCACTCGACAACGATTACTTCGTGTACTTCCAGCGACCAAAACTCGCCCGGGCTCGCTTCCCTCACTACCCCCGCAGGTCAGCACCACTTTCTCTGTGACTTTCCTTGAAATCAAATCAAATTTTCCTCTGTCAATTCAGTTCCCACGTTTGATCAATAATGTTCCATTTTTTATAATATCTTTTGTTAATTCGTATTTTCAGCCAGCATCTGGATCACCTGCTGCGTTTTTAGCATCCTCGGTCGTTCCGGTAATATTGTTTAACCTTCCCCCAACAGTTTTAGTGTGTTCCACATGAATTTAAATCTTTGCAAAACTCCCCTCTCCCATTATTGATTTTTTTTATGCATAACAGCTGATTTACAGTATGTCTGAATTCATTGTTTCAATAATGAATGAAAGGATCCAAAGTGATGTCCTCTTCTCGGGTCTATGTTGAATGATCTTCGAGTGGCGTGTTGGACCATGGTACAAGTACTGTATTTAAAAGTCCCAATTTAAATGCCTCATAATTAAAGGAGAGACGGCTAGTTGTTTTTGTTTTTGTTTTTCAAGAAGAAGAAAAAAAACGTGTCTTCGTCTCTCAGGGGAGACTTAATTATTCCTAGCTTCCCTTCAGACAAAGGATGAGGTAATGCCACCGGGTTAACACCCTAAGGATGGACAAAAGGTAAAATTATTGAAAGATAGAATTCATTTACTTCTATTGATTGTAAAATATTTGTCTTTCCCTGGGTGGGGGAGCAGGTCGGGGGTGATTATGATGCAGACGGGAGACCTCATAAAGGAAGGCTACAGATACCCTTACAACTTCCACGACGGCTTCGCTCAAGGTGTGAACCTCAGAACCATGAAAAGAGGTAAATACCCTTACTACAAAGTTGAGAAAGTCTACGACATTGTTAATACTTCTTCTTATGGTCACTTTGATAAAACAGGAAAGTTATAAGGGAATGACAAAGAAGAGATCAAGAGATCCCTCCATCCTATCCTTACATAATACACCTTGTCAGCTGTTGTTGGTACATATCAACACAACTCAGTACTTAAATAGTCTGACATGTTAAACTTGTAAGGGAGTCAGAACAATATTCATCACCTACTGCGGTAATAATTTCAGGTTCTGTTAAGTTGTATACATGAATTACAGCATATCCAGTGTGATATATTCTTGATCACAGTTGGAATATGAAGCTTTTGTGTGATTCCCAGGCCTTACATAATTACAGACTAGGAAATTAGAAAGAGTTCAGAAACACGTACGTAAAAATGTTGCAGATGGTGATCACACAGTCTATACAAAACAACTTATTGTAAACACCTATGTGTGTTCATATCACACTGTGACCACATTCCGATCTTGATCCAGTACCAGATTATTACATTGTTTTGATGATGTCCTACTTGCTGCTAAACACTCGTCTTTGCACATCAAGTTGTAACCAGTCTGATGTAGCCCCACTAGTGCTATATATACTGTATATGTGTGTTTACTATCACAGTGTTCGGCTCCAAACTTTCATCATTTGTTACTTTTACTTTTATCCTCTTCACCACTGATCGGCTCGTTAGCCGCTTAGGCGGTCGGTTACGTCTGTTACACACTGTTGTCTTAAGATTTTGTAATTCTAACTAATTTATGTTGTATTGAACATTACAATTTGTGATCTCATGGATTATACTCTCAGTTGCTGGAAATATATCTACTATGCTGGTCTTGTTGTTATTATTATATTTACCCGTGGAATTGTCATTATTATTGTACATACGCACACACAAGCACACATTCATAGATACTCACACTCGGGGGCGGATCCAGGGGGATCCGGACCCCCCTTTTCATCAGAAAATTTCAATACTTTTTCTTAAATACAATATTGTACTCATGCATTTTTGTGCAGTAAAAAGTAATTATTATTGACCTCAGAATAACTCTTAATATCAAGTGCGCGTGACTTCAAAATGGCCTAAGAATGTCCGTGAATTGGTCAGATTTAAAAAAAATAATGGGTGTTTCCCAGTGGCCCCCCAAACCCCAGCTGGGTGGGCTCGCTGTGCTCGCTATGCTCGCTTCTTGGACCCCCCCCCCCTTTTTGGTATTCCTGGATCAGCCCCTGACACTACCACATGCACACATACATTGACACGTACTCATGCAAGTAGCCAGTTAAGGTCACAGGTATATCTGGTTGGTGATTTTGGGGAAGAATCTGACATACCCACAATCACTAAAACTTAATAATAAAACCGCCACCCTCATCATGATTGTCACAGTTGGAAAAGCGATACTTCCTCTCAACCAGAACGGGATGTTTTTAGCAAGGCATAAATATATCTTTATACCTTGGTTTTTAGTACAGCTAATTGGCGAGGAAAAAATATTACAAAATAAGGACACTTGTGGTAAGGTAGTGTCATTAAAGAAGTAAGCGTGTATACGCAAGTTCAACACCGAGGGATACTGTACACCGGGGCGGACCCAGGAAAATAAAAAGGGGGGGGGGTCCGAGAGGTTTTCAGTTGGGGAACATGGCGAACACAACGAGCCCACCTAGCTAGGGTTTTGGGGGAGGGGGAGCGCTGTATGCCCGCCCCTCAATAATTCGTTTTTAAATCTGACGAATTTCATGGGCATTTTGAAGTGAGGTTCCCTGAGGGGGTTACCGTCGCTACAAAGGTCCCTTGGAGCGCAGCTGTCCCTGGGAGTGTCCTTGGGGGCACAACCGCCTCTGGGAAGGTCCCTGGGGGCGCCGCCGCCTTTGAGTGGGCCCATGGTGGCGCCACAACCCCTGGGAGAGCCCCTGGGCGCACTGCCGCCCCTGAGTGGGACCTTGGGAACGCCACCACCACTGGGAGGGCCTCTGGGGTTGCCACCACCCCTGGGGGGCTCTTTGGGGCGTGGCCGTCCCTGAGAGAGCCACTGGGGGCGCCGCCGCTCTTGATATGGTCCCTGGGCGCGCCACCGTCCCTTGGAAGGTCCCTGGGGGCGTTGCTGCCCTTGGGAGGGTCTCTGCGAAAGTCCCTGGGAGCACCGCCGCCCCTGGGAGGGTCCCTGGGGTGCCTCCGTCCCTGTGATGGACCCTGAGAGCGCGCCTCCCCTGGGAGGGTAACGGGGGGCCATCGCCCTTGGGAAGGTCCCTGTGGGCGCCGCCGCTCTGGGAGAGTCCCTGGTGGCGCTCCAGTTCCTGGGAGGGCCCCTGCGATCGCCAGACCTGTAGGACCTCTGGATTACAGTAGTTTTTGCATTATTTAGAACTCTGGGAAATGCAACGTTTAAATAAATACATCGCCCTTCTCATTTCCAGTATCATCGCATTCTGGAGACGGTACCGGAGAATAATATCCAATAGGAAAACATAAGTTGTGGTGCTGTGTTGACTGACTCCTATCTTCTCCTATTGGCGGTAATTTGGTGGGTTAAAGGACAGTGCACCAATCATAGTTCAATAAAGAACTGCTGGAAGTATGTAATATATATCATACAACGAACAAGCATGTAATAGGTCCCATGGGGACCCTTCGTAGGGTCCATAGGGGGGCTCCACCCCTGAGAGGGTCCCTGGGGGTGCTACCGTACCTGGGAGGGTCCATGGGGCCGCTGCCACCCCTGGGAGGGTCCATAGTGGCCCCACACCCCTGAGAGGCCCAATGAGGGCGCCATCTCTGGGCGTTTCTAGGGACGTCGCTGGTCCTGATATAGCCCCTGCAAGAGCCGCCGACGCTGGGAGGGCCCCCGGGGCGCCGTCACCCCTGGGAGGCCGACTTGGGGGCGATCACATCTCTGAGAGGGTTTTGGGGATGTCGCCGCCCCTTGGAGGGTCCCTGTGGAAGCCACAGCCCCAGGAAGAGTCAATGGGGGCGCCACTACCCCTGGGAGGTCCCCTGGGATGATCGCTGGAAGCGCCGCCGCCCTTGAAAGGGCACCTGGGGGCGTCGCCGCCGACTATAGGGCCCTTGGAGGCGCTACTGACCCTAGCAGGGTCGCTGGAGATGCCGCTGCCCTTGAGAGGGCCCCTGGGGGCACTGTCGACGCTGGGAAGGCCCTTGGGGGGCGCTACCGCCCCTAGGAGGGTTCCTGGAGGCGCCGCTGCCCCTGGGATGGCAGCTGGGGGCTCAATCACCCCTGGGAAGGCTCCTGGGGGCGCCGCCGCCATTGAGAAGGCCCCAGGGGGTGCAGCCGCCCCTGGCAGGGCAACCGTATACTGTATCATCAAACTTCTACTTAGATATTGTGTGCTATGTTGCTTAACCTCATATAACCCCAGGTATAGAAAATTAATCAAATGATGACGTACACGTATCATATTAAATATGACACAGTCGTAGCATATGTTGTTTAACCACATAATTATATCCCCAGTTAACAGAAACTTTATTAAATGATAATGCACACATGTCACATATGAATTATGACTGATGTAACGTGCATTAAGATTAATTAAATGATAATGCACACATATCACATATGAAATATGACAGAGTTGTAACTAAGAAAACTGTATGTTATGTTGCTTAACCACGTAATTATACCCTCAGGTATAGAACACTAAATGATGATATAATCATGACAGAGTTGTAACTTGTTTCTGCCAGTGTTTACTTTTACACTTCTCAATTATGTAATGTATTTTCCTGGATTGTTTTTACAGTTAAATACGTGTAAAAATATGTCCGTATTTATTATACGAATATATATAATGTAATGATTTGGGGTCGCACTGGATAGGCGACAGCGCTAGATGAGGTCGCACTGGAAAATGCTTGGGAACGTCTGTCTTAGAGACTGTCAGTTGATTGAAAATGTCCCAAGGAGGGCCACCAGACAAGTGCCTGTACTATGGCACCCCAGTTACCCAGAGACATTAGAACGCCTGCAACTGCTTAACTTATACTGTACTATAGACGGACAGGGGGTGACTTTATTAAAGTCTAAAAACATTTCAGAGAGCACTACTCAGTAGAGTATCCATAAATGGAGCTGGCGGACGCCTGTCCCACTAGGGGTCACAGATCAAGGATGGAAAAGCAACAAGTCCAGAACATTGTGACGGCAACCTTTTTCAGAGTGAAAATTTTAAACTCTTGGAACAATCTGCCAGACTTGACCAACACTGGTACAAGTAAAGCTGCATTCTGGAGCCAGTACTTGCCAACAGTGCATAACAGAGACGTGACCGACCGCCCAAGTGACTGCATTGGTGCTGCCTTCGAGTTTTGCTAAGTTTGGGATTGTTGACAGATGAACAGTCACAAAGGGACATATATATTGCATGATGCACAGTCGGGGTCAAAAGTTCACTCCTACACGAGTAGTCTTAAATTGCCTCCGGAGGGAGTTGTGACCCTGCCAGCCATACAAGCTGTTTCTGCTCTGTGGTTAAATAGTAAAGACATCCTGCTATCAGACTTTGCTTCGACATGTCTAGTGTCAGCTAGGTCACCAGAGCTGCGCCCATCCCCTGGTGCATTTTCTTTGATTGCGCCCTTGGCTTAAGGTGGTAGGTTGGGGAAGGATATTCCATTTTGGTTTTAACCAGCAGCTGCCATCAGGTAATCACGGCTAACCCCTGCAAGCGTGGAAAATGGCCGCAAAATGTTAATGATTAGTATATATACACGGGGACTCCGAGTTATGAATGTTCAAAATACGAACTCTCAAACATATAAACATTGTCCCATTATATTTACATGGCACTATAGTTATTTGTTTTGAATTTACATGATCGCATAGCCTGCAGCTCCACCCCCCATTACACCCCTCCAGAAGCAATGGGTGATCGAGAGACTTTGAGGATGAGGTGTTCATCGTCTCACCTCCGTCCTCAGGCAAATGGGCCAGTGTCAACTAACCACTGCACGAGCATATTCCAGGTAAATATGCCAGAACAGATGTGTCAGACGCTATACTATGCAATGGGCATGATAATGGGTTTGGCGAGGTGAGTCGTAACAGTTAAAGGTAAACAGATACGCTTGTAATCAACAGCCCCTAGACCAATCCCTCCCGACCCTTGACTATGTTGCAATTATGCCAGACATACTACCTTCACCAGTCGCCCTAACACTTCTCATTCACTTTTGTTAGATATCACAGCCATTAGACCCCACTTCCCCCTCCTGTTAAATACCCCTGAGAGAAACCACGCTCTAGACAGGATTGATTATGCCTTTAAAAAGAAGAGAAGTGTGTCGAAGAGATGGCAACTAGCAGACATACTTTTAGGGGAGAGGAGAAACAACTGGAACGTTTCGAGAGCAGGAACAACGTAATAGTTTTTGGAGTCCCTGAGAGCAAGTCGGAGGAAACTGAGAGTATGAAAACACACGACGAGTTGCAGTTTGAGAATATTTGTACAGAGGTTCTGAATGTGCTATCCCCTCCTCAGGATGTGAGGAGGCTCGGACAAAAGCAGGAGGACAAGCCTCGCCCCCTCTGGATCACACTTGTGAGTGAGGAGAAGAAATGGGAAGTTATTCGGCAGGCAAAAAAATTAGCAAGGAGCGAGGCATTTCAGAATGTATTCATTCATCCAGATCGCACGGGTCTTGCAGGGCTTGAAGCGGAGGAGGGAGGAGTCGAGGAGGAACGGGGATAGGTGTACATTCTCGTTCAAGATTCTATGAACACTGCTGGAGACAGCTGGCAACTCAAGACAGTTTGTTTACTATAGGATGTAGTATAATATAATACGAAATAACAAAGCCTAACCATTAATTAAGCAACGGGGAACTAAGTAACCAATCACAGATCACTTTTACATTCATTCATAACTTTTACTACGTACTATGGTAAACAAGCGGCCTTAAGTTGCCAGCTGTCTCCAGCAATGTTCGAAGACTCTTGAACGAGACTACATAGGTTATATCCAGGGGGGGGGGGTAGTGGAAGCAAGAGCGCCAGCATAGAGCCAGGGGGAAGCGGTACACCTTCCACCTGCTCTACCTCCCACCCAGGAGGAGGCGAGCGCCGTGTAAACAATGACATTTCTAATCACACCTTGCAAAATACAGAGTATTTAGCAAATTTTGCAGCTGCTGAGAATGGAGGGAGGCCGGAGTTACTACCAAGAGCAGAGATGTTACCTAGAACATTTTCCGGCTTGAATGTCATGTACACTAATACTGTACTGACACGTTCCTTGATAAGAGAGAGGAGTTTGAAACACTACTGAAGGTCCACCAACCCGATATAATGGGTGTTGTAGAACTGATGTACAAGAACAGGAGGATCGACCCAGAGGAATGTGAGTTCAGTATTGGCGGATATGACTTATTTACGAACCTTTCTCAAGAAACTTACCAGAGGGGTGTGGTTATCTACGCTAGGCAAGACCTTAGAGCCAGCCACGTGAGGGTACAGGGAGAGAATGTTTTTGAAGAATCCAAGTGGTGTAAAATTAAATTAAAGGGAGGGGACTTACTTATTGTCGGGTGTATCTGCAGATCCCCAAACTGTAGCTTACCGTAAACCAAAGGAACTTAAGAGCCTTAATAGACAGCGCAGCGATGCTCAACCCTTATCATGAGGGACTCTAACTATGGCGACATCGACTGGAGAAATGAGTTCACGCCAAATGACTTAAATAACCCCGCTACTCTTTTTGTAGAAACTCTGAGAGATAATTTTCTCTTCCAACAGGTTAAAGACCCGACACATTACAGAGGGGAGCAAACACCCAAGCCACTGGACCTCATCATAACAAACGATGAGGGTATGGTGGCCAAACTGGAACATCTAGCCCCAGTTGGCACCAGGCACCATGTAATGTTGTCATTCAAATTTAATTGTTACTTAGTTCACGACAAAACCAGGCCAAGGTGCAAATATTACAAGGGAAATTACGACGGGATGAGGGAGGAGAAGAGAGGTATCCACTGGCCTGACTCACTAAGGCGTAAGAACGCAGACACTACGCTGAATATCATAGCTTGTAAAGTGACCCATTTGCTCGAGAAATATAGACCCAAGACCAAATCCAGTCCCTCTAGGAATACAAGGAGACTCCTTCACATGATCCATGCGGCGGTCGACAAAGTTAAGAAGAAAACCCGGAAATTCAAGGACAGGAGGATGTATGCAAGAGCCAGGAACCAAGCCAAGTCAGAGTGTAGAAGGGCTGAAAAGGAGTTCCAGAGGCTGACTGCAAGCGAGGTCACGTCAAATCCAAAGGCGCTTTACCGCTATGCAAGGTCGAAATTAAAAATGCGAGGCTTGAAGGTGGCAGTTACGCAGATTCTGACCAGGATAAAGCTGAGGCATTGAACAGCTTCTTTTTCTCTGTGTTCACAAGAGAGGATGCGGTTAATCTGCCTGGGTTTGAGGACAGACGTTTCGACACAGCACCGACCCACATTGTGTTCACAGAAGAGGTTATAAGAAATAATTTGTCAAAGGTAAAGGGTTCATAAGAGTCCTGGCCCTGACATGATGCATCTCAGAGTGCTAAGAGAGTTGTGCAACGAGATTGCCTAGCCCCTGAACATCCTCTTCTGTAAATGCCTCGATGAGCAAAATTTCCCCGGTGATTTGAAAATAGCTAATGTGAGTCCTATCTTCAAGAAGGGCGATCGTCACTCTACGAATAACTATAGACCGGTGAGCCTGACCGGCATAGCATGTAAAGTATTTGAAAGCATTCTAAGAGATGCCATGATGGAACATCTACAGTACTACGAAACAACCTTGTAAACTGTAAAGGATTGACAACACGGTTTTATGCCGGGGCGCTCCTGCTTAACACTATTACTCAAGGTACTGAATATTTGGACCCAAATTCTGGAACAGGGTGGTAATATCTATAATATATACCTTGATTTTGCCAAGGCTTTCGACAGTGTACCCCATGAAAGGCTGAAAATAAAACTGGAAGGGTACGGAATTCGGGGAAATGTCCTAGCGTGGATTGGAGACTTTCTCCATGACCGCAAGCAGTGTGTAGTGATTAAAGGCACGAAATCATCACGTGTACCCGTCACAAGCGGAGTACCACAGGGCAGTGCATTGGGACTGCTGCTGTTTGTTTGCTTCATAAATTACATGCCTGACGCTGTACATTCCTCCTTACAAATGTCTCCGGATGACTGAAAGCTATTTCGGGAAATTAAGAACTAAGCAGACTTTGAAGAGCTGCAGGGAAAGGATCTCTGAGCTGAG